CGAAATCAGAAGAGAGAGTTGAAGCACGTGACCACGCCTGTATTTCGTGAAATTGTACAAGTGCGCGTTTTTTGTAGTTTTTCGTATTCAAACAAAAAACGATTATGCAATTGATGAAGTACGTAGTGTTGCAATGGAAGTAAAATAAAAGAACAAAACGCCACACTAGTCAGTATCGCTTCCTGTTCAGAGAATATTGGGTTTAGGATGATGATGATCATTAGGGTGGATATGGATGCTAGTTCAAGTAAAATAAAAGTACAAAACGCCACACTAGTCAGTATCGCTTCCTGTTCAGAGAATATTGGGTTTAGGATGATGATGATCATTAGGGTGGATATGGAATGCTAGTTCACTACAATCACTTGGCGGTGCTCCAGACACTCATTCGGACCATTTGGATAGAAACTGACAACAGAAGCGCCCTGATATCGATTGGCAGCCATGTCTTGCAGCGTCCTCAATCACGCACAGTGCGGATCGCATGGACCCTAGGGTCCAGAATAGCTATTCTGGAAAACGACAGCACCCAGATTTCTGAAATTTGTTCTATACTGCTCCATAACATCAAACGTTGACGGCCGCCCTGCTTGCGTCATTCTGAATTGGGTGTGCGGAATGCATGGCGTAACCACTAGCTTCTGGTACTGTACACGAGCGATGATTCTGACAAGAGCTGAAGTCGAACAGCTGAAGTCATCCCAGTCCCGCTGCTCAGAGTCCACGTCTCACAACCCTATGACAACAGCCCGTACTGTAGCGTGATACGAACATTCCTTGAGATTCAAGAAATAGGTTTCTCAAATTAGCGAACGCAACCCTGGGCATGCAGATTCGTACATTAACCTTATCCATAACACTGCGATCGATGAACTCCTTTTTCCTAAGACCATCTGGCGTACCTTAGCATTATTAATCCGATGTTCTTACCAGACCCGAGTAGTACCTCGGGGACAACGTTGGTCAAACACTGACATTCTCCGTATATCATCTCCGCTTAGAGGCCACGTCTCTGATCCATAAATCAGTATGGGTCGCACTGCCGTATTGTAAACTCCGCCATTGACAAACAAACTGACGTCACGTCGGCGCCACAGGTGTCGGAGATTGGCAAAAGCTGCCCTTGGTTTTCCGATTCGAGAAATAATTTCATCTGCAGCTAGTCCACAGTAACTTTGCAGGTCCCTTGGTAAACGAATTTATCCACCACATCGATTGGCTCGTCTGGAAGCATGAGATTTGGGTATGATCCCACCCAGTCGTGTTGCAACACTACACTTTGCAGGCGTGAAACGCATGGCAAACCATGCGGCAGTTATTTAGATTATTTAAAATCGTCTGCATTTTTGAAGAATCACATCAGGTTAGGTGATTCAGACAGCTCACCTTACATACACATCTTTCGGTGTATGGCTGCCGTACCCAAGCATAAGCAGAGACAATTAGTTTTCTCTGTCTCTCCCCTGTATTTGGGCGCTGGATGCCTCAATGATTGAGGCACAAGCTCACCCACCGGAAGGTGGATAATCCATTCTCAGTATCTGATTTACTCCTGAACTCGGAAAACCCAGCAGTATGTCAGTCCTCGCGTTGCCTTCTTATGGCGTGACAGCTAGGCACCGGAAGGTGGTTACATTAAACTATTATGTTTTTATTATTCATCTTATTATTACTTATTATTTTGACACGGCTTGGACCAAGACAGCCGGTTGAATTTACATGTGTATAACAAGTACGTGTTCTTTCAGTTCACCGTGTGATACTTTTGAGTAACCGGCTTTCAGAACACGGCTACTATACTGGGACAATATTTTGGAGAGCTATAGTGAATCAATTTACTTTCAGCATTAATGTTGCGAGGTTCTTGTTTGCGTTTTCAAACAGCTATCAGATTTATTTCTTGCTACGGAAAATGGAAAATGTCAATCGGGCATTGATACCGTAAGTAATGCTGTTCAGGAAGTCATCATCAATGTGTACACACGCAATTTTCACGATTGCGTTTTGCGGTTTCAGTTATCGGTAGGCTGCGCACCAGGAAACCGCTGTTTTTCCAGGTGGATCTTTTTCCCGGCCGAACTGGTCGTTTAACGGAATTGATATCTGAACACACTTAACTCGTGAGTATCGGATTTTTGCTATCCTCCACTAAATCAGTCTTAATTGCATATCAAAAAGTAGTGGGGGCACTTGGATTGTCAGATTGAAACGATGATAGGTAGGAAATTCATTGAATTGTCACATACCTAGTGCTTTTCGATTTGAATATTGTAAACTACTGCAGGACGTTTCAAATCAGTTGTTTTTTGCATTGTGTATTGTTATCACATATTTGTTTTAGGTCTTTTGTGTACCAAATGTGACGGTGTTCTTGCCGGTTTTGATTTAGAATGGCGGAAGAAATACGACGAGGTCTATGCAGAACTCGTAGAAGTCAGAGAGGCCCTGCACCTCAGTGATCTCAAAGCACGTGCCCAGGAACACCAAGTTGCCAGGCAAACGGGGGAGTTACAGAGGTATCTTTTTTCTTCTCCCTTGTAATGGTTATTGCACTAAAACGATCTTAGTGTGTGTACCTTCTATAAACTCACCAGAATGACGCGTAACGTTACTTATTCATTTCACACTGTTCACAGTCAAGTCGCCGAGTTACAATTTACCGTTGACGCTGGCCGTACCGAAATCGATCGCAAAACTCGTGAACTGGAATCTGTCCAAGCGGACGTATCGAAACTGAGATCAGTCTTGGAGCAGCTGAGTGAAGGTCAACCGGGTGCAGACGGTCCTCAGCACAGTTTGAATGAACTATCTCACGGTTTACACGAATCTTGTGTGGTGAGCGCTACTCTCCCTGTTTGTGTATGGCGAATTAATTCGGAACCACCGTTTTGACACTTAACGAATCGGATTGTTATGTTTTTTCTATGGTAGGGAAGCGAAGAATATCTTTCATTCATTCGTCCAGAATACCTTTTTTCCTAAGACAAAGCTATTTTAGTTCCACCAATTAACCCAACCTGGCTTATGTGGTTATCCGTGCTCCCAGTTTCGCATCTATCCCCTCATTTTTAAATCCAGTGAAGTACTGCCTGCACGGCTTTTACAGCTTGCACTTTTCGATAAAATGAGTTGATGCGTGCTCGAGGTAATTCAGTGAGTTAAGCTATGAACGATAGAGGTGGAAAGTGCGCCATTATGCGGGGCAAAGCGACAGCTGACGGCCACTGGCCGTGGAATTGGGGATAGTTTGAAATAGTACTTAATCTTGAAAACAAAGAACTCAGTCAAACATTTGGGGCAAACCTTTTCCCGGAATTAGCCACCTTGCAAAAGTGTTCATTTCTGAGATAAATACTACCCATTCATTAGTTTAAGAGAAAAATGTGACCATTGATATGGAGAAAACTAGATGCCAGGAGCTTGTTCCTTATCCGTTTTTTAGGCAGGATAGATCAGAGACTGTCACTGATGAGGGCTGAACCCTCTAAGGCGGTAGAGATGGCGGACAAAGTCGCTGAATTTCAGACAGCAGTCGCTCTCAGGATTTTGGTATTTGATCGCACACCTGTCTTATTTTCGTTTTGCTGGTATATCCGGCTGAGATTTTTTGACTGATGCATCGGTGAACGGTTTCAGATGGACCATGACGCATGTGTCTTAATAACCATCCCAATGCATCATAGTACCTTTCGCAGAATTCATAATTTAGTTGTTTGTACTTAGGTCGTTTGTACTATAATCACCTTAGTTATACATTTTATCCTGAGCTGCTTCGAAGGTCCCTCAAAAGGAGACTTCGGGCCTTGTGAGGGGTTACGATAAGGGTGCTAGTCTCACGCCTCACATGGGTCATTTGGAGGGATCATAGAGCCGGATTGTTCAAAATCAGCTTAACGTCTACCTAGCTAACTCCATCATGTCACTCCGGAATGTTTGTAGCCAGCGTCTTAACTGTACGTCGAAACTATACGAGACAAACATCGACAGCGTATTTCCGTGGAAGTGGCAGTATCATTCTTATTGTTTCATGATGAAACCGATAGTTCAGTCTAGCATTCGTGGGCCAATCAACCTGGGGGCCAACTACTATTGCTGAGCTGCGACCACTTGTGCATTCGTTCATTCGCCGCCGACAGTACGTTGGCTACTCAATCAATAATTCTCCTGAGTGACTCAGTCGACAGCAGAGACTGAGAACGCGCTGAATAATTCCTGCTTCATGTCTTGTGTGTCATGCGTGATCGACGACATCCAGTCACACAGAAACATAATCGTTTCATGAAAAACCTATGTACGCCATTTAAATCTTACGCAGTATGTTAGTCCTTACACATTCAAGAGACTAGAATGTTTTCGGATTTGTTGTTAAGATTGAGTCGAGCTGAAATTTTATAGGTGCTCATCTGCTTTTGGTGATACCCTACAGGTTGTGTTTACGCTAATGGTTACTTTTATCACACGGGCATGAGTACAGAGAGCAGGGATTGTTCCAGTGTCGAAAGGTTAATTGCCAAATGTTTTGGCAGTAAGAATACGCAACAGTATCAAAGGTTTGCGACAAACATATTCCAACTATTTGAAAAGAAGACAGAAACCCTAACTGTTGAGTTCTGGACCACATAAGCCTCCCATGTATTGGATGATGGTAGATTTGACCGCTTCCAAGAACGGTGACCGTTTGTTCTAACCGTACACCAATATCCCAATCAATCCATCAGTTTGCCTCTGTTAGTGGACCGCGATTATGACCCCTTTTTCAATGCGGTTAATTACAAGCAGAACAGCCCTTTTCTTTCTGGCAGGTTATTACTCTTCACTCGTAATGTCTTTTCTTTAGAAACGCATCCAAGAACTGGCGTCATTGCTACATTTGTTGATCAGGCAAATTACCGATGCTGGTTTAACACCAGTCGCCACCGTTCCTTTGGACCTCTCACTGAACTTTGATCAGATAGACAGGAAACCTCTCGGTGAACTAGCAGCTGTACACAATCAGCCCGTTCCAACCAATCAGCAGACGTCGAAAGGCTCTACAACCGACGAAGATGTTCAAGATGCAGAGATACCGAGCACCGATGTAGCTTCCAGTGTCTCCTGGTTGACTGATCGCCTGAATGCTGCTCGTCAACTTATTTTAGATCTTGGAAATCAAAGACTCAAGCAAGATGCCTGTATATCTCAGTTGAAACTGATGCACCGGGTATGTGTTGCTGATCAATTTGTGATTTATGTCAAAGATTGTTGTGCGCCAATTTGTTTCAGCCAGTGGTGTGCGGTATTTTGTTTAATTTAACTCCGGGCTGTTTTCTACCAAGGATATCAATATTAGACCTTTAAGAGCGTCTTGTGTCATTTTTGATGAAGTAAGTTCAAGCGCTTTTTGGATGGAATGGTTAACGTGGTGTGTTCGCTAAGCATACCATAATGTATTGCCGCGGATGCCCTGCCACAGTCAAAGATCTCTCAGCTACTTTTCTATGGTGCCTCTAAATGAACCGTGGAATACCATCGCGATCCCTAACAAATCAGAAGACAACGAATCAGAGTAAAGTGTACCGTCGGTCAAATTAGTACACAAGAGACGAATACTCGATGACTGGTTAGCTGAATGTGATCTCCAGCCTAATGCTGCTACCTAGTTGTGGCCGGGTCCAGTACTGCAATGCTCCTGCGGCCTGCACCGACAAGCTCAGTTACGTATGTTGAAACCGAGACCGCTAACGGGAAGTAGCCCGATGAAGAGCAGGTGACGAGTCCCAGTGTGCCGAGGAGCGGTATGAGGCAGTATGGGCGCAGAGACCCACTGTTAGAGACTGGACGGCGAGGTTAGCAAAATGTTTCTCCGAGACTACGAGCCTGTCCACGTTTGTGGGAGGAGCGATGTGGCCCCGTCACGAAGAGGGACCAATCTTGAAAGACGGCCACAAAACCCGTACGCTCCGTACGCGATCAATCATGTCTGCCTTCACATTATTCCATAAACTTGGAATACTTTTAGGAACTAGGAAGCCAGTGTTACACGGAATACACCTGCTTTGCACAGTGCTGTTAGAAGCCAGGTATATTTGCTCTACATACACGTCCTCAGGCTGAGCAACTTTATTACCACATGTCAGACTTTTGACTTTTTTGCTCCAGAGATTGCTTCTCCTTGAATTTCTTTCTCGGTCTGTCTGCTAACTCGGGGGCTGTGGTAGTATCACAGAACAAACCTAGCATTATAGCGAACGATCGGCAGTTCTCATCCGTCAACCCTTTGCCAATGTCATCCACTTTATTTCAGGCTGTCAATTGAGCAACAATCAATAGACCTCTACTGGAGTGCGTAATGTTTCCTTGGAGTATATAAGACCCGGATAGCTCCCACAAAAGTTTATGAACAGCAACTCAATAGACTCCAAGGTAAGAATTATAGGGAAAGTGGATCGCGATGGGCTCAACCCTCACTGTCGGGATCCAACGACTGTGACAACTCGGACCACCTTTAGTGGTTGAAAAAGCTGAACTAAACTGCCTGAGGTATAGGCTGTCATATTGGTTGGCGTTCATTCACTACCACTCACTCAGTTTACCGTCATTTATACCAGTTTTTTTCTCCGGTTGGTTTGATTATGTCGTTTTCATGCGTGCTGCACATGCTGTAGCCCCGATGGTCCCAACCATTTCGGGAACTTGGGAGCGTTGTGCTGTAACAGGTAAGGCAGTTGTCTATCCGTTAGTAACTGCTGATAAGCTCTCACTGAGGCCACAAGAAAGGCTATTTCGACTGGGCGTGGGACAAGCATGGATTTTTTTTAAAAAGTTTTCCAGCAGTGGTTGTGTTGGCCGGTATGAGGTCGGTGGTTCAACACTTAGATGAAGGGTACATCTTCAGTAGCGTCGTACAGTGTTCTCAGTCTTTCCTATTCCTTTTGAAAGTAACCGTCTGTTCCTCGGACAGAATTTATTTTTTATCCAGGACCTAAAGGCGCGTTGGTTGCCTCTCACTTCATCGTGAAATGTAAGCCTGATCATGGTGTGACGACTTCCTGTGCTGTTTTGAACCACTGGGTAACACCAGAGTTGAGTTGTGATACCCATGTTCTCTGCTTGAGTGGAGGTCCGACGAATGTAGTCCCTCCTCCCCATGTTGGAGATTGGCGAATTTTTCCATATGAGCTCATTCTACTGTTGTATTATGCTGGGTCGAGATGGCTCAGTGGTTAGAACGCGAATTTACTGATCGGAAGTTCCGTGGCTCGAAATCGACCTCTGCCTATCGACTTACCCTGCCCAGGAATGGGTAACCTAACAGTATTCCAGCCTTCGTGCTTCCTTCGAATGGCATGACAGCTAGGCACCGAAAGAGAGTTATGGCTGAACGATTCTTTTAAATTTTAGTAACGCCCACTACCTCGAGGTCGGGCTCCGTAGCCGAAGGTTCAACTAATCCCAGTCGTCAGCATCGCCACCGCAAACAATAATATCAATGTTTGCACAAATTCACGACCATGGTCCTCTCTAGACTTTGGCATCTTGACAGTATTCTAGTTTGAATGCGGCAATTGGGGAAGTTGATACGTTTCGCGTCAGGGTACATTGACATTTATCACAGGTCAGCGACACAATGGGATCAAAATTATAGCTTCATGTATGCGAACTAATTTCTTCAAGCCCACCTTTGTGTGTTTCAGAGTGAGCTTGATGCTCTGAAGGAAAACTGTCGTTCAATGGAAGAACAGCTTCATGTAAGTGAAAACTTCCTCACCTTTTCACATCATTTTCAGAAGCAAAAGGTATCATTCGAGACGGAAGCTGCAAAACGAAATGAGGAAATTCATGTAAGACCCACGTTTATGTTATTTCCTTTTACGTCAACGCTCGCTCGTTAATTTATTCGCTACTGTGAATATACTCTTGTTTCTTTCCAGAACCTAAACCAAAGGGTAGCAGACCTTTTGGGCCAAGCTGAAAACGAAATGAAGATGCGTGGGAGACTACTGGCCGATGTGGATCAGGCGCAAGAACAGGCACGTCGTTTGGAATGTGAAAAGACGGAAGTTCGAGACCGTCTTACGGCTGTAAGTTGTTCCTCATTCTGTGATCCGAACCGTTGGGGTTTGATAATTAGGGTTTTTTTGGAAATATACGGAAATTTGCTGTGTCTTGCTCCAAGGCATGTGGGCCTTATCGAATTTTGTGCTGAATCAAATCTGAATCTTGGTATTTTGATGCCCTAGGAAACTGTGTGCACTAACTCCAATGTGGGCTCGGGATGGACCAGTGGGTAAGGCGCTAGCTTCATCATCATCGTCATCATTGTCAGCTGTAAGAACCGCGTACTCGTCATACAGCGGTTGTAGCTGCCGCAGTTTCGTTCACCGATGATTTGGGGGGGGGTGTGGTGGTAGCTTACAAACGGGAAGGTCCATGGTTCGAAAACATACTTGGGCAACCCGGGATTATCCTAGCCCTCGTTCATCCTTCCGTTGGCATGGCGGCTAGGGACCGAAAGGGTGCTGCACAGTTCGCTGTAGTTGAGGTCGTGTCATCCGTTTAGACTTTCAAGGACTGTCGCGACTTTGTTGCTCCACTTCATTAATCCCTACGGTGTTTGCCCCGTTATTGACTCTTTTTGGAATCGCAGTCTGTCTCGTTTCTCACTTCATTCACTCACTTGCTTTTTCATCTGATTAGGAACTGCGTGAAAAGGAACACGTGATCCAACGTTTACAACTGGTTCTCGCTGTCGTCGGTAATAACGGTGATGTCACACAACACACGATTCCTAACGAAACTTGTATGCTGGATTCATTCGGCCTTGATACCGGAGCTCGTGAAGAGACTGGAAAACTATTGTCTGGTCTGTCTCCGGAACAGCAGAAAACTGCTGCTGATGGAGATGGAGGTTCATTCATGCAACATATTCTCTTATCATCTGCCGGCGCACCTGAAACAGCAGATGTGGATAAATCGGGTGATCATCCGCCACGCTCTATAGAGTCGGCTACATTCAATTTGGATGTGGCTTCTGGTGATGACAAGGTAATTTTGCTCCATCGGTGATTCGCTAGTGATTCACTAGTGACCGAGTTTTTAAACATGATTGACTGGTCAAACATTTCAAGCTACTTAAAGCAGTTTTCACTACCGTATTTCAAAGTAAGATCCACACTGGTGTTGGACGTTTGCAAACAGACTGGTTGGTTATACGGGCGCCCTCGGTTGCTGTCTCTAGTGAAAACAGACAAGTACCCTTATGACGATTGTAGACCGTAGTTTAGCGCTTCGCTTCCACTGGTGTGACTAGATTTGCGTTTGACGCTTCATCCAGGCATATGTGGTGACCTTCAAAATTAGTCGAGTTATTTTCAATGCACTCGCTTTTCTGCTGTGATAAACCTGATTAAGTCAGAATCTTCTTATGGAATATAGCTATTCTCTCATCATGAACCGAATGTGTAGTTTCGAAAGGGTACACGGGGCATTGTTACAGCCACAAAAATGTATTCACAAGGTTGCATATCGTGCGCGCAAAGACCTCATTGCTTACCAGACTGACTAGGTTCTGGTCTAGAATTATTCGAGTACGCATCTCACGCAACTCTAGAGAGTCTGGAACTGGCGACCTCTCGGCCAGTAGTTTGAACGCTTAACCGTTCGACTACGAGTGGCGGATCAGCAGTGTGATTAACTCGCACTTAGACAGAATATAGCACCGCTCGTCCCTCACTCACGGGATCCACATCACGCGGTCACACGTGTTAACTGGCTCCTCGAGCAACGACTTCTCAGATAGAAGTTTCACTCATCGGGTGAAGTTTATTCTTCCACTGAGCTACCTATATATTGTGGGTAGTGTGAGGAGATTTGGGATATTTTGTGTGGGATTTCGTCCTGTAAGTGAAGCCAATCTATGCTGAAAAGCCGAGAAGCACTGTACAGCTGTTTCATCCTTATTGGGAATCATCAGCAGTGCGCATCTCATGAAACTCCGAAGAGTCTCGAACCCGCGACCTCCTGGTTGGTAGTTTGAACATTTAACCGTTTGGCCACGAGCGGCTGATCAACAGGGTGATTAACTTATACTTAGACAGGCTATAGTACGGTTCGTTCGTCAGTCACGGGTTCCAGGTCACATGATTTCACGTGTTGACTAGATCCTAGGGCAACGGCTTCTCAGATGGAAGTTTCACTCATCGAGTAAATTTTATTCATCCTCTGAGCTACTTGGGGATTGTCGGTAGTGTGAAGAGATGTGCACTGCTGATGTACGGTGCTTCTCGGCTTTTCAGTACAGATTGGGTTCACTGACTGGATGAAATCTTTACTGATTGTGACCAAATATCATTGCAATGAAAAAATGCGTGTTGTCTTGGTGCGCTTTCAGAATCGGTTTGTTTCGACATAAGTCTTGCGTTCATGAACTGTGGTCAGTCTCGTTAGACTGAGCGTACAGGACTATTTGGTGTGCCTCTTATTGGTTTTGGCGGTGTTGTGACGGTTCAGGTGAGACACCGAAGGGATCCGCTATCAAACCCAGCACAGACAGTGAAAAGAAACGGTGCACTCTGCTTTCATAACTGTGATTTCAAGATCTCATTGTCATGCTATTCAAAACAGTTTACTACAAATCCGGAACAACGCGAATATAAATATGTTAACTGAGTTTTGTTAGTATGTTTGTGATGCGTTGAGTATTCCTGGGAAGTGGGAACAGGCTTTCCCTTCTCATATTTTGTAAGCTGGCCGAAGTGCCACTAGAGCCCCTTCTCAACCAGATTCCAACCCGGTATCAGAGCTGAACTTGGTCAGCCAACGAGATACCTGATTTCATGTCTGGTTGGAAGTTAGACGGAAGGTGTGTTTCGGTGGTACGAAGTAATAATATGGGACGAGATAACTCAGTGGTTGAAGCGCGAGTTTACTGACGGGAAGGTCCGTTGCTCAAACCCGACCTTTGCATCTCGACTTTTCCTGTCTAGGCTTGGTCAGCTTGGCAGTATCCCGGCCCTCGTGCTCGCTTCGGGTAGAACGACAGCCAGGAACCGAAAAGATGTTACAGCTGAACGATTATTTTATCATTAGTGTGAGATTTTCACCTGAACTACATAAAACTGAACAGTTGTGTTTGAATCAGGAGTCAGTTTTTCCTGTCGACCGAAGGGGACGTGTTTCGCAGTTTGCACCACCAACCAGGTCTTGCGCCGTAATTCCAACGGATCACTTCCATCGAACATATTGATATAAAACCAGATGCCTAATGAGTTGATCCACACTTCGAATTCGATGAGTCTAGTTTTGAAGGTGACTGCTTCTGGGGCTTATCTACAACGAATTTTGATGTTCATAATAGTTGAGCCAGTTCGTTCCACGTTAAACGGGCAATAGTTCCTATACAACGAGTCTAGTTTTGAAGGTGACTGCTTCTGGAGCTTATCTACAGCGAATTTTGATGTTCATAATAGTTGAGCCGGTTCGTTCCACGTTAAACGGGCAGTAGTTCCTCTACAATTATGGTCTGACTGGATGACTGAACCTTTGGGTGTTTGGTCATTAGCTCAGATTCACAGTTCGAGGTAGCTCAGTGGTTAGGGCGCCAACTTACTGATCGGAAGGTCCGATGTTCGAACCCCACCTTATCATCTCTACTGCACTTGTCTAGGATGGGCAACCTGACAATATCCCAGCTCTTGTGCCTTCTACCGTTGGCATGGCGGCTAGGCACCGAAGGGGTACTACAGCCGAATGATTAATTGATTGATTTAGCTCGGGTTCATACTTGGTTACTAGCATGCTTCCAATGGTATAAGTATGCTGTTGTTGTCCATCCCAAATCATATTAACATCGAGGTCGTGGAAATGTGATGCACGATAATGATGGCTTAGCTTAGACGGTTCCCTCTGGCTTAGTTATCTCACGCGGCAGAAGGGTGTGGGAGAGATTACGAGGAGTTCAAGTATTGTTGGTGCTGTTTACCCTCCAGTATGGGGTCCCTGTGTCCCTCCTGCGCTTGGTTGTGGAGACATTTCAAGAAACGGTGACCGATCGATGTCACTGGCGTTCGTTCTGTCAGTCTTTGTAGCGTATCTGACTAAGCATTTCGGGGTGTAGGAACGTCGAAATTTTTGCGATAGGTCAGCACCTGCCTAACACACTCTTTTTTCTTTTAACTTTAAGTATAGGTGAAGTTTGTCGTTGTACGACAGTGAGGCATCATTGTTCACATTGATGTTGTCTCTGATGTTGGTCATGCATTGTGATGTAGTTGGAAATCTAGCGCTTATCCATTCGTTCTACTCACTCTTTGAATCGTCGTGCCGTTTCTATGACATGGTTATTTCGGTTTTCGACGACACCAGTGGTACAGTAGACACTCATGAATGATACCAATTTGGACAGCTGGTTTGAGTGTGGTGTTTATCTTTTTGGCTCGTACTCATCTCCATTTCCATGTCATTTTCATGTATGTTTCAGGCAGATGACCAGGACGCTCAAAATGCGTCTTCGAAGGAGGCAGCCGCCCAACGTGTTCCGGATGATATCCAAGGTCTACAGCGGGAACTAACAACTGTGCGGCAGCAACTGGACAAACAGGTTAGTGTGGGATCTTCGCCACTTTTTCTATCCTTGCCTTATTTTTCAGGCTGAAATCGGACTGCATGAAGCTTGTTTGGGGTGGGTACTATTGTATGACCGTGACCTCCCTATATTTTCCAGAGTTGACCTAACGGAACAGATGTGCGATGATGTCACAAAAACCTCTCTTGGCTACCATGTCTGTTGTATCCTCACTTTTTGAGACATTTGTTCTAGAGTTTGAGTCCTTCCTTGAGCGGTGCCTTCTGACTAATACATTAAATCTGTGCAAGGTCGTTCGTCTAAAATAGAAACGCACACACAAGAACCTAAGTAAATCAGCGAAGGGTTGAGTGAGCCACCTACCGTTGTTGGTTCAACGTTGGAACCGCTGTTAACGGATTTCGAAGTGACGCGCGAACAGAACTCCTCGGAATCTACTTGCATGGACCGGATGAATGTTTCCCTTGTTAAGCAAGTGGGCTTGAGATGGCTCATTGGCTCACGTGCGATCTTACTGACCCGAAGGTTTGTGTTTCCATCCCAACCTTAGCATCTCGACTGCTCCTGTCTAGGCTTGGACTGACCGACAGTATCTCAGCCGTCTCAGTACCTGCCGTCATGGCAGCTACACATCGAAGGGGCTTTACAACTGAACGATTATTGTTTAGGCAAGTGCCAGTCTGTGTAGAAAAACGTGCGGGAAACTTGTTTCCACCTTGATTAAAAAACTTGGCTGCAGAAAGGGTATCTCTTCTACTTCACGACTCACTTATTTGGTAGACATTATATTTTTTATTTTCGTGTGGTTGAGCGGGGAACCAACCATTTGAATGATATATTGTGCGGTCTTTCGCGTATCCAAACTGCGACTTGGTCCCCAGCCCAACTGACTTCCTTCACGGTTTGGGAGCTGTTTTTTCTTTGTTTGTTGCAGAAAGAAGAGTACGCTCGGCTCAAAAATGCCTACACTATCCTGGCAACCGCCACAAACATTGGTTCTCTGGCATCGGAGGCTATAACATCATTTGACGTGACGCATGATTTGGGCCAGCTGTCGAATTCCTCTTCGTTGGCTGAGTCCATTGGCGACTTGCCCACTGTAAGCACTCCGCCCTGTGCGTCGCGTTCTCCCGTCTTTGACGAAACTTCCAATTTGGATGAGTTGGTTGGTAAGTCGTTTGTTTCGGTCCTTTTAGTTTGTAGTTACCTTTTTCAGTCGCACGGTCGCTTCTCCTCACGCGCCTGTTGTTTTCCATGTTGCTAGCAGCTAACCGTGGTTCGGCTGAAGACTTGTCTGCCAGGGACGTGTCTGGCACCGCTGTGGATGTTGGTAAAGCCCAGACTGCCAACGTTTCGACTGTACCGCCTAACACATTCAACCCACTGATTCTCCCGAGTCGCACCAGGGCCGCTTCTGGAGTAAGTCGTCGACTGTGCTATGTAGTCATTCGATCACCAACATCACTTGCAGTGGTAAACTGGTAATGTCTGTCGGTGTTTAACTGCCATGCAACCACGAAATGAGGAAAACTTAGTAAAAAGTGCAGGGGCGGAGATGTGTCTTCAGGGATAACCACTAAGAATAAGATGCCTACGCCTTCAAATAGGGTTGAAATAAACATATGTACCTTTGGTACCATCAACCGGATTGATACAGACTTCTCTGGGAACTTCAACCAACATAAGATAAGCCCCCAACGATTGACCTAAGCCAAGCACTCCGCACTTGACGTCATGAGTGCCTTTAAGCGTTTCTAGCCATGAGCAAAGGGGATTATATGGGTTCCAGTCTTGAAGCTGTTAAGATACTACTTTCGTTTAAAGTTGCAGTACCGTAGGCCGTCTCTGAAAACTTTTTTAACAACACTTATTTGGTAGGTGGTGGTTGAGCAGACCTATCACATGTTGTAGCCATCATAATATGATGAAATAAATAACGATAGCCATGGACATGCTGCTCTATCTTTCATGGACTGCCCTCGGCTAACTCTTGCTACACTATCGAGAAAGCAGCAATCAATCATCTAACATCTCCATATCGGAGCGACCAAATTTCGCAACCACAAATCATGTTACCAGAAATCAGTGAGACTCCTTTGCATAGCAATTTGGTTTTCACCAGAGACTCAACTGAATCTCTTATCCATGCTGTTCAGTTGAAAACACAATCGATGTGCGAATGAGTGCATTTGTCGAGATTTGTCCAATTCGGGTTCACCTAGGACATGAGGTTGACGGAAACTCGGGGACTGCGCCTATCTGATGAGCCCCAAGAAGGCTGACACCGGGTGTGGGCTGTCGAGCAGTTTTCAGCAACCTGAAGTCTGAGTTCGCAACAACGTAATCTCATTTTGATATTTCGAGACCACAGGTTTTCCGTAGATCACTAACAACACTGTTCGCCGCTATTTGAATTCTTCGTTTGATTTTCAGTTGTGGTCGCTCGTGATTAGTTGACTGCGTTATTGGCCTTGTGGTAATTGGGGTCGGTTGATTCTTGTTTGTTCAGCGTCATCGATTGCTTTAAACACTGTTTACGAATGCAGCTGGGATATTACTGGATTGCTTAAACATAAGTGGCATAATGGAAGTGCGACTGTTTGTTTGGAACTGCGAACCTTCCGGTTACTAGACTCCGATCCTACCTACCTGAGCTATCTCAAACTCAAGATTTTTGGATAAATCTGTGGCGTACCCTAACCGGAATTCGGAGCACGAAGATATTTACAAACATCGGTAGGGTTCCATCCATATTACAAGGCTCTTTTGAAGTCGAGAGAAACGGTGGTGTGCTTCAGGCTGTTCAAGCCCTTGACTTATTGGGAAACAATGGTTGATGAACCCCTTACGGGATCCAATACTATGTTTGACTGACTGGCTAAACGTCGAGGTTTCGCCGACCTGATGTTCCAACTTTCGTGAATTCCGTACTTCAATGGTCCTTTGCGTTTCTTGAGATTCATGGTACCCCTATGTTTCTTTGTTCAAACTCGGACTACGTCTGA